TGCGATTGGCTATTTGTAAAGTGTCGCTGGCGACTGTCGCTGGAAATTAGAAACGTTCCTAAATATTTTTGGCATTGAGGTTGTCGCTGGTCGTTGTCGCGTGTGTGTGCAATGGCTCATAGGAAACAATAGTTTCTAATTTTCTGAAAAGTCGTTTGTCATTACGGTCGGTTGCTGTCGCTGCAGTGTGTCTTGGCCTTAAGGATCCCAGCATAAGGACCCAGCATAACATGTATTGTTTCGTGTTTCAACAGACGGGAGAACTGTTGAAGGTGTACAGAGGAGCGGACAATGATGTTCTGATGTCTCTGTGCGTCTACTCTGATCTGCTGATCACGGGGAATCGCCGGGGAGGTGTCGAGGCCATGCTGCTGCAAAACTCCCAGCCGTATGTCTGCCAGGTTAGTCGCAGACCGATCTACGCTCCCAACGATAAAACACGATAATTAACAATATCTAATGTAATATAATAGTATCATTTTAATATAAATTATAAACTAAATGAACTAAAATTAATATTTCAATTAATCCATATCGTCCAACATAAATTTCTACAGTACAATAAAATACGGAATCTATTAAGTATCAAAACTATGGAATCTCCTGATACGGCTGTGTGCTATTGCTTCACTGATTTAGTGTTCCTTCTGTTTTCGACTGATTTACGCTTCTAGCAGAACTCTGGAACAATAATATCTTTTAAATATAGAAACTATAGAATCTCCATTTCGTAAACTCTAACCTAAATCCCTATGGTGTTGCTTACGCTCATATGGCCTTTATATATTTATATTTATTTCTTCGCAGATCGAGGGATGCGGACTACCATTCGCGTACCCAGAGCACCTGATTCTACACATGGCTTCACACGGCGAACAGTCGAGCGGCTCGTCAGCGCGGATCGTGGAGAGTCAGCAGCAGCCGAGCAGCACCGTGGCAACGGAGCAAGGCGGCGCTGTGAGCGTGGAACCCACCAGCACGTCCTGACTCTGTGTAGAGGAAGCTCAGTGCCTACATGCGGGTACATGCGCTGATACTTGGCATTGGCGTGCTGCCTTAGTTGCTAGCGTAGGAGGTGCTGCCATCTTTTGTCAACGAAAATTTGCATTATCGTGGTGCATTTGGTTGGATATGCAGCTACCGAGTTTACATTGGGAAATCAGAGAGTGAGGGACAGAAAAAGATGGAGTGAGAAAAAAAGACAGAAGGGAGGGAGGGAGGGAAGGAAGGACGAGAGGGGGAGGGAAGTAGGAAGAGAAGGAGAGATAGATGGTTTATTCACAGACACGTGACAAACACAGCTGGTCAACTAATAACATTGAATTTCTCATATGCCTAAGGGTAGCGTGAAACAATTTTGTTGAGTCGTTTTCAGCCCCACTCAATCATCAATAAGATTGCCTTGTTTATGTTCAAAAGTGCATCTAGATGATTCAATCAAAGTGTGGTGTTGCCATTTCAGATTATTTACAATTAAAGGAATAATAGGTTCATTGATTATGAAATGTTGACGAATGCTAGAGTAACTGGCACCTTGTATTGTGTAGTTAATAAGTACATAACCTTATAGCCAAACGCATATTAGTTTGTCCAATATCACTGCTGGTTACATTACAAACAAGACTTTGAAATCGGTTGTTGATATGTATCAACGTATCATTTACGTGCCGTAAATGTCATCCAGGAGTTGAGCGATGACGTAAACATTTATGCGGCCCATATGTTTTGGACGCCAGATGAAACGGAGGTGTCAGCGGTGTAACCACGGCCACGGACTAAACATGGAAATAGAGTAAAACACACGTACTAATTATGGACGCACGTGGACAGCCTTGACAAAAAGTTCCTTATCACGAGCGTCCATGTTTACGAAATCACTGATGGTAGCATTGCGTGCGAAAATGTCCGGTGCACTATAAATCTGTATCACACCCGCTTCGCCGGCAGCGGTTTGAAACTGTAAACAACTGATTTTTGGACTGTGGATTTCAATTAGACATTTCTTAGTAACCAGCAGTGATATTGGACAAACTAATACGCGTTTGGCTATAAGGTAATGTACTTATAAGCTACACAAGGTGGCCAGTACTCTAGATTCATCAAACATTGCATATCAGGACCTATTATTCCATTAATGATTTTTGTTACAGTGTAGGGAAATTAGATTTTCATTTATTTTCTTTAATATTTTTGTTTCAAAGACGCTGTCGTTATTGCCACGTATAATTCTGATTTAATCATTTCAATTTGCCCAAATGCTGAAAGCTTTGCTGGGTTTTGCTGCACGTGCTTTTGTCATTGTTTTTGTTTTTTAATTTAGCTATATGCTCCTACTATTTTTACTATTATACTACTATATATTTACTAATAGTTTCATGTGACGATCAATAACTTATGCTCAAACAACATTGTTCATTTCCAGTAACATTTTTCAAATATGATTATTCACAATTGGGGGACTCGTTAAAGTTAATTTGGCATTTTAATGATTGAATTTCATGCTCGTTTAGCCTACGTACTACTTACTCACTGAGCCCTTTTAGGAATTTGAATTAGAAAATAAACGGCAATCGAATCTGTACAAAAAGTGTAATGTGATTGAGATAATACACACGTGCACACGCATACATATATATAATTATATATATTATATATTTATATATGCATAAAATCTGGCAGTCTTCGGTGAAAATGCAGGCAGGTTTACACTGTGCTCCGATATGCATCACGCAGCTGCATGCTGCTGCGAAGCAAGCAAGTAGCTTCCTGGGTCCGTGTTGTCCGTCCTCTAAATATCGTGAATAGCATTGTGTTAAATGTTCTCCGTGGCTCAGAGATTACTGCCAGTTGGTGATCATAGATACGAACCGTAAAGTGTCACCAGATTACGCAATATTGTAGGAGGCTTGCTGGCGAGTCTGTGATTCACTATTACACCTCTGTATGCAACAATTCTCGTAGTGGAGCACCGCGATAACTGCATTCTAAGTTGCGTTTTCATATGGTTGAAATTCGTTTGTAGGCAAATGGTGTATTTAAGCAGAAAGAATAACAGGAATTTAAATTGCCATATTTAGCATGCAGGAAGGTAACTCGAATACCTCGTGCGTGTCATTGTGTCTGCATCGGTTGTTCAATCGGAGCGCATGGCCAGTAGTAGAAAGAGAGAGTAGATATAGAGCCAGTGTAGATTGGAAATGCCTAATTAGTGTTCCGAATTGCTACTGCATTTTTCCTATTTTTCTGTCAAGATAACCTGTTATATTTGATCATGTTCCAGTTTTGGATGTGAATGGCAAGGATGTTTTTGATTCAGGTTGTCAACGGAAGCAACAGCATAACATCGAAAGAGTTACGATATAACCTCTATTATTAAGATATTAGGTTTATTAGTATTATAGCTCTTGATAACGTGTGTGGTTTCAATGCGAGATTAGCCGGTGTTAAATGTCGGTGTGCAGCAAAAGCTGAGACAGCTGTAAAAGACAACTTCTACTTAGCATCTTCTTGAGCTTACATTTTCATGTAACCATTATATTATGACGAAGTGTGTTTTGATGCGTAGTTAGTTGATGCAGCGTTCTGTGGATAAATGTTGTCGCGGGGTTGTTATTATCACAGTTTTGCCAAGTTAGGAATGACTAAAACCGTGGCTATACTACTTGTACTGTTAACAGGCGAACAAGGGTTACGTCAATTCAATGATAAACTTATTCAACGCGTAACATTGTCTGGAGAAATATGTGTAATTAGTGTACAGGCTTCTAATAAATGACTGGCTGTACGAATGGCATGCAGTACGACCAGTATGGCTTGCTGTTTTGTTCCGGGGCATTTTAGTGTACTTTCGGTTTTCGGTACGGGTGGCGTAGCGTGTGTGTATGCGGTGGGAATGCGTCTAATGCAGGTGTCGTGCGTGCGTGCATGTAATGCGGGTGCGTCCGTGTGTGGCGCGTGCGTGCGTGTAGCGCGTTCGTGCGCGTGTGTGTGTACAAGTATAGGGGACTGATTCTCTCCGGGTCTGTGCTATGTGCGCTTAACGGCAGATGCTGTTTTCCCTGACTCGGCTGCTGTGCTTGTGCGATCGAACGCTGCATCAGTCCCCTATTTTTCTTTTGCATTGTCGTTGAACACTCGCGACTACAAAGTGTTGGCGTACCCAATAATAAAAGGTCGAAGAGATACTCGACTTTGACACGAGCACGTCCTAAGTCTGTGAGTGCGTGGCGTGTGGCGCGTGCGTGCGGTCAGGGCAAAAGGCTATGCTTTTATGCGCAGAGCGTCCTACTGGCGTTTCCAAACAAGCCCCTCTGTCCATCATCAGTTTTCGCATGAGAGATTCAGAGAGTACATTACTAAGGCTAGATAGGGTCTATGTCCTCCGCTGGGTACTCCGGAACGTATCCTGGGTAACGGTCCCGTATATCGGAACGTCCCTGCTATCTAACTATCTGATATGGTAGGGTTAGGGTTAGGGAGTAGCGTAGGCGGCTCGCCTAGATCGTTAGTGAGTAGGCGAGGTACGTGTCCGGCAATATTAGATAGTACCGCAGGGACATCATTCCGGTATACCCAGACCGTACGCAGAGTACGTTCCCGGCATGTACACAGGGAAAAATAAGACCCGGCAGCCTTACTGAAGAGCTCTTTGGCTACTAGTAGGTCTCAGGTGGAAAAGCGGAGAGATAGTGGAAATATAGAATAAGTTGTGGATAAGAAATCAGTTAACCCTAACCCCTAACCCCTAATCCTACCCTAACCCTAAACCCTAAATCCCTACCCGTATTCTAAAATAAAACAAATTTAGCCAAAAATAATAAAAAAATAAATATAAATAAGGAGACACGCATTGCCAAAATTAGCCACTCAGCAGCCGTCCCTAACGGATGCACTATGCTCTCCCAGCTGTGCAAAATTCCTTTGGCTAGCAGATATTACCGTATTACCTATGGTATACCCTCGTCATAACCCCCATCGTTCGCTGTTTCTAGCATATATATATATATACAGTATATAATTATTAAACAAAATACTGCCTCCGGAGAATGCACCCCGACAATTACCCCCCCGACATTTACCGGCCCATGCCATTCACAAGAAGCCCTGGACAATTACCCCCGGATAATTAACCCCGCGGACATTACGGCGGCCCCAGGACAATTCCCCGGGGAACAACTCACTCCCCCGGACATTTACTCACCCGGAATATGCCCCCCGGACCAATTACCCCCGGACATTTACCCCCACCCGGAAATCAACCCCCCGGACAATTACCCCCCGGACATTTACCCCCGGAGTCCCCGCCGACAATTATCCCCCCCAGACCATTTAAGCCGCCCGGACATTTAGAGGAGGAGTTTAGAGGACGACAGGAGAGGTAGTGGAAGGAGGAGGTAGAGGAGGAGGTAAGGCGCCGCTCCCTCTACCCTCCTCCATCCTCTCCTCCTCTTCACTCCTCCCCCCTCCTCATCCAACCTTCTCTCCTCCTCTTCCTCACCTACTTTTGCCCCACCTCCTCTTTCCCCCTCTGTCCTACACCTCTCCTTCTCCTGCCCCTCCTCCCTCCTCTTCCTCCACCTCCTTCCTCCTCTCCTCCTCTCCTCCTGCCTCCTCCTCCTCCAGCCCCTCCTCCTCACTCCTCCTCCTCCCTCCTCCACCTTCTCCCTCCTCCTCCTCTCCTCCTCACACACTTCTCCCCCTCCTCCTCACCACCCTTCTCCCCACCGAATTCTTCCCATCTCCTCGACTGCTCCTCCTTCCCACCTCCCTGCCTCCGCGTCCTCTCTCTCTCTCCTCCTCCCATCTACCTTCTCCCGCTCCTCCTCCTCATTCACCTTACTCGCTTTCTTTCGCGCCTCCTCTTCGCACTGACTTTCCCTCCCACGTTTCTCCCCCTTCTCACCTCCCCTCA